TGCCGCCGCCGCCGCCTCAAAGTCTATCCCAGGACCCGTCCAGGGATGCAATCTGATCTCGAGGGCAATCCAGTCGCGAGGGCGCCCCAGGAGGAGGCCACCCGAAGGGGGTAATCAGAAGCAGCGTCCACTGACCGAGACCCTAGACTTCCTCGATCCGCCAAGTAAGTGTGTTGGAAGGACAGGGGCAAGGGTCGGGGCCTGTCCCCGTACTAGGATGCAAATCCTGGGAGGTTGGATTCTGTATCGGCGCTGGCCTATCCGTGGCCGATAGCCGTCCGAATCCAGCATGATCCCGGCTAATCCGGTTTTTGCTAAATCTGGTGCAACCCGAAATTTGGTGCAATCTCGCCGCGAGTTCGTGGGGGGGGCCTTGTAGTCGGGGGGAGGGGGGCCTTGTAGTCCGGGGGGGGCCTTCCAGTCTGGTGGGGGGTCTGTAGTCTCGTTGGGGGCTCTTGTGTCCGGGATGGGCGGCGTGTTGTTCGCGGGGGGGATCCAAGGTTTTCTGAATCCGCGGGATGTTTGTTGTCCAGGGTTGGGCCGGGCGCACGGGCGATGCCAGGCGCGCAGTTGTCGCCGCTCTGCTGCGCCGCTGGTGGAGCCGAGTGGGGCGGCACGCGCGCATTAGCCACGCAGCGCTCATCAAAAACATCGCGCGCAGTGCGACCACGCAACACACAAGTGACTCTGGCACGCGCGCGCGCATTGTCGCGACGGCAGGCGAGGGCGCGGTCATTTCGCTGGCAGCGCGCACGCTGGCGCGCGTGCTGGGAGCCTTCATCCAAGACAGAGGCGCTTCTCCATCATGACCAATTCTCGGCGCCCGTGCTGGAAGAGTGCTATAGTCCGGAGGGGGGTGTCCCTGAGGTTAGTAAGGAGGAGGGCGGTTTATACAGGCCCAGGAGCAGTCCCAGTAGTCGGGGTGTGGCCCGTTGTAGGCTGGGTCAGGGTGGGGCCCATTGTAGATGGGGGGGCTCCTGTATTGTAGAGTCTGGGAAGCGCTGGTAGCCCCCGGGGCCCAGGATTGTTCAGGCACTCAGACGATAGCTGAGCCCAATCTGGCTTCGTGGCCCCTCGAACGAGCTTCCATCGCTCTTCGGAAGCCTCCCAGCAGCTGCATCCTAACCCTCAGGTGCCTGTGGTGGGCGCCCAGGCGCCGCCAGCTCAGCGGCGTGCGCCAGCGCAGCGGCGGCCACCAGCTCAGCGCGGAGGAGGGCCAATTGAGACGACGCCAGCTTTCCTGGACCCTTCCTTGGGTCCATCCTGACCCGTTCGTTCGTCGAGGCGGACTCAGCAGCGGCGAGGAGAAGCCTCGAGGCCAAGCAAGAACGAGGAACGCAGCATGAGGGCTGCCGACAAAAGCTAATGGCGTCGTGATTTGTTTAATGCGTCGACCCACAGCGGTCTGGACCGATCCCCAGACGACCACGACGACGACGACGACGATGACGAGCATGACGACGACGACGACCACCAGGACGACGACGACTATGACGATGACGACGACGACTACGACGACGAGGACGACGACGACGACTACGACGACGACGACGAGGTCGACGAGGACGACGACGACGAGACGACGACGACGACGGCGACGACGACGAGGCCGAAGAGGACGACGACCGCGACGACGACGTCGACGACGACGACCAGGAGGACGACGAGGACAACGATGACGACGACGACGACGAGGACGACGACGACGACAACGACGACTGGTGCTGGTCTGTGGCTCCATAGCCAAGGCGCTGAAATAAGGACCACTTTGGATTCAGAAGGGGCTCGCTGTTCCATTGGCCATCCCGTGGTTGTTCCTATAGTTCTCCTCGTATACTTGAGCTCTTTTTGTAAAAAAGGGGGCTCAGTTCTGCATGTGAGCGTCGCAAAGATCTAGGCCGTCTGCTCGGACATTGGCGCGTAAGTTTCCCGTCTAAGGTAGCGCGTAAGCGCCCTCGTCTCCGATCTGGCGTGCCACGCTGGCGGTCCGCGTGAGCCGCCACGTAAGGTCGCCACAGCACCTCTCGTGAGATCCGCTTCTTTATCGTCCCCCATGTAGCGTTTCTTTCTCAGCAGCCCGACTGCACCCGTGGAGGGGGTCCTTCGGGCGGGGCTCAGGCGAGGATGAATCCGTCACAGAGCGCTCTGGTTCGCTCTCAGAGCGTTCTGGAGCGCTGTGAGGAGGCCGCGGCGCCGGAGACATCCTTCTGATTGTACCAGAAAGGGATCCAGCTGAAATGGGGTGGTGCAATGGATCTGCTGCAATAGATTTGTGGGGATGCAGTAGATTTAGGGCGTGCAATACATTCCGGTGCGCAGATGTATTGCTTTATTTTCGCGTGCAACACATGAGCTGTGATATATGCGATACGCGTCTCTGGCGCAATACGTATGCAAAAGTGTTGCTCCACATCTAGTACACCCCCTTTCAGCCGGCAGCCAAAGTCCTCCAGAGCCGCTGGGTCCCAGAGATTCCCGATCTATCCTCACCCGAATTTGCCCTCGTCTTGGCCTCGTCTCAGCCCTGGGGCTGTCTCGCTTGGGCCTCCTCCGCACAGCGGCGGGCGCCAGCTCAGCGGCGGGCGCCAGCTGAGCGTGCAGTTCCGGGCGCCCGCGCCGTCGAGGGTGCCCTCCTGCCAGGAGGCAGCCGCGGAGGGTGCCCCCCCGCGCCCGGTCCGAGGAGGAGGAGGAGGAGGCGGAGGAGGAGGAGGAGGAGGTGATGCCATGAAGAGGCACGTTTAGGAACTAGTGCCCCAGACGCGGGCAGCATTCCAACGTCCAGCGCGAGGTGGACCAGCTGCAGGACTCTTTTCATGCTACGGGCCAGGAGGTGATGCCGCGACCCTTCTCTCGTTTTCCCTCGTTTGATGGGCCAATTTTCTCCACCACCGCTACCATGTGCAGGACGGGGGAGGAGGATGGGGAGGTCTTGAGAGGAGAGGTCTCAGGAGGACCTGAGGCGCCACGTCTTTCGCATCGCAAGTCGATGGTCCTAGATCCTCCCAGTCTTTGATCGTCGTGTTGGGCGGCGTGCAATCGTATTGCACTCTGTGCGTGGAGCAAGCGGTCTTTTCTCCACGCGAAAGAACGTCGGCACTGCGTTGTCGAAGCATTCGGCCCGCAACGCGCTGGTACATCAATATACTCGTGCATGCAATGTCTCTCGCAGTCTGGGTTGCTACAACATTGCGAGCTGGAGAAGACTGGAACATCATGCAGTCAAGACGCTGGAATGATATGGAACAGTTTGGCTTCAGAATGGGCTCGCTGCCCCGCTCAGGTCCTTCCATTGCTGTTCCTCCAGCACTTCTCGTGCACGTAGGCGCTTCTTGTGGGGCCCAAGAGGGGGTCCGCTCCTTTCGTATATTCCCTTGCCCGTCGGTCGTTGGAAGTCGATATTTCTGAGCTCTCATATCCCAATCTACCTCACGGACATGTCTGCTTCAGTGATCGAGCGGTTTCCCTTTTTGTTCCCTGCCTCTCCAGGGGCCTGGCGGAGGCCCAATCTGCCTGCACCGCCTCCCTACATGTTTCTACCCACTTCTTTCGACCGACGGGTACTTCGCCAGCCCGGCTGCCACTCCGGGCCCCTCCTCGGGCTCGAGGCTCCGGGGGGGCCTGCCGTCGACCCACGCCGCTCTCGGCGGGCCGCACTCGTGCAGCGTCGGGCGCGGGGGGCGGGCGGCCAGGAGCTCCAGCTCAGCGCGTCGCTCCGGCGGTTCCGGCCCACCGCGCTGCGGTGCGACGCGCCGTCCACGTCCTGCCCCCCCCCTTCGAGCAGTGGCGAAGCGTCCTGGCTTGCCTGGAGGCCCACGAAAGATGCTCTGATCATGTCCCGTGGTCTGCACGACCTGTTCTCGGGGCATGTGTGGCTGAGTTTGTCCCGTTGTGGCACGCCTGCCCTGTTGTCAGCGGACGTTGCGTGTGCTCTTGGAACAGTTTGGGGCTCAGCCCGATTCCGTGTATCCTGGCGTCGACTCCCGGCGTCAACGCCCAAAACTCTTCCAGGCCTCCCGCCCCGCGCAGCGGAGCAGCACGCAGCCCGCTCGCAGGGCCGGCGCAGCGTGTCGCCGGGTGCCGCCGCCGCGGCACGCCGAGGACGCCCAGCAAACTGCTCCCGACCGAAGATCTGGGGAGAGGGTCTGAGCACGACATCTATGGGTCCCACTTTCGGGCGCGAGGCGCAGAGGGCCCCTGTTCGAGACTCGCTCCTTTTTGTTCGGGCCTACCCCCCATCGTCCTCCTTGTGCCGGCGACTCCCCCTCGGCGTGGCAGCTGCCCGTGGTTTGTGGCCCCGGTTCGCCGCCGGCAGTGCGATTCGTGCTTTGCGTCCTGGGGTTGTTTTCGCTATCGTGCTGCACGCCGCCGGCGAAGAAACACAAGGGTTCTTTGTTGCATCGTCGCAGGAGGACAGGAGCACTCAGGAGGGGAAAAAACACACAGACACAATTAATCATCGATTTGTCAGAAAATATGTGAGAATATGGGAAGTGGGGGGGGGGAAAACAGAAACCCCAAAAAGATTAGGAAATATGGGGGATCATTTTATTTGTGTGTATTTATTTGTGTGTCTTGGGGCCCCTTCAAAATATCCATGCCCTCGCGGCCTGCACAGCGAGGCGCGACGCCCGGGGCACGTCCTGCGCGGGGCATCCGCGCAGAGCGACCTCTGTGTTCACGGCGTCGCGGCCTAGGGGCTCAGGCCGCGACGTTGTGGGTATGGATGCGTGTTTCTCCCTCCTCCGCCCCCCCGCAGTGGGTCCTGAAAACGGAATAGCATTTGTTTGTTTTAAAAGACATGACCCGGGCCCACACCCGGGGAAACGGCGACAGTACAACAAGGGCGCCAGGGACGTCAAGGCAGATGCGCTTGAAGCTGCAGGAAGCGGCGGGGAACCGAAACAGCAACAGACGCGAAGTCACTTCCAGGGTCCACGAAGTGTTTGCCTCCCCCCCCCCTTCCCCCTTCTCCACCCGCCATCTGCACAGGTACTGCTGCCGATGTTCCTGACCCCCCCGGTCAGGGAGGCCCTCCGTGCAGGTTGCCCCCCGGCGAGGTCAGCGGCCAGTCGCCCCCGACGCAGCCCGAGGAGGAGCCCGACACGGTCGGGCCCCGCGCGCGTTCGTTCTGTCCTCTTGCTGCGATTTCCGAGCCTTGGCTTCGTCGTCGTCGTCGTCGTCGTCGCCGTCTTCGCCCTCGTCCTCCTCCCTGGCCCTCGCCGTCATCCTCCTCGGCCCCGTCGTCCTGCCCCTCCTCTCTCCTCCTCCTCCCTTCTCCTCCTCCTCCTCCTCTCCTCCTCCTCGTCCTCCTCCTCCCCCTCGTCCTCCTCCTCCTCCTCCTCCTCCCTCCTCCTCCTCCTCCTCCTCCTCCTCCCTCCTCCTCCTCCTCCTCCTCCTCCTCCGCCTCATCCTCCTCCTCCTCCTCCTCCTCCTCCTCACGCATCCCTCCTTCCTCCTCGGCCGCGCCAGCTGCGCCCTCGGCCGCGGCCTCGCGGTCTTCGGTCGTCCGTGTCCTCCCGCCCTACTCCCTCCCGCCTCAGAGCAGACTGCCGAGTGCGGCACCTTCGGTCGCTCCGCAGGGTGGATCTGACCCGTCCCCCCTGGGGCGCCCCGTCGCCTCCTGGCGCGTCTGATGCAGTGGTCCCGTGCCCCTGCGACAATGCCGCCAGCGTGGTCCTCGGACACTGCTCGGGGTCCTGGGCTGTTGCAGTGGTGTGCGGTTGCAAGTGCCGAGAGTGACACATTGGGGTGGGCGTGAGGCGTCCGATGTCCTTGCTACCCGAGGCTCCAGCAGGTCCCAACGCAGCCCGGTCGCGCATTGCAGCAGAGGCGCGGTCGACCGAAGACGGGTCGGAACAGGCCAGTATGTTCGCGTGGTCGTGTGATGGTTTCTTTTCACCCCAGTCGACCGCGCACTTTGCCGAGACTCGAGAGCTGCTCCGTCTCGGACCGCAAGCTCCCCTGGGGCACCCTCGCCCGCAGCGGGCCGATCGCTCTTGGTACGGCGGCCGGGCGCCTGAGGCCCAGACGTCCTCCGTTCATCACTCTCGGGCCGGGCAAAAGGGGGGGATTGGGAAAGGGGGGGTTACGAAATTTGCTGCATGCAGCTGATTTCGGCCTCACCGAGGGGCCCATTCCTCGATACATAGTCGCCTCCGGCGCCGGGAGGCGCCGGGAAAATCAGCTACGTGAGCTGATTCTCAAACCCCCCCTTTGCTATCCCCCCCTTTCGCCCGACCCGACACTCGCTGCCGTCTGCCGCCGATCCGATCTCCAGGGCGGCACCCGGGACGGAGGCAGCACCCCAAGGCGTGGGCATCCGAGCCCATGGAGGCGGCGGGCCGTCGGGGCCCCAGCTCTCGGGCGCTCTCCTGCCCCTGTCCAGAGCTTTGGGACACCGGGTGCCTCTGGTCGCGAGCGGCAGCGACCGCTCGGCGCTCCGAACCGCCGCGGTCGAGTTCGAAGCAAGTCGGTCGCGACCCGTCCCCCACTGTGGACTGGGAGGAGGCCCGAGGATCCGGAGGAGGAGGCAGGAGGAGGAGGCGGCGGGCCGTCGGGGCCCCAGCTCTCGGGCGCTCTCCTGCCCCTGTCCAGAGCTTTGGGACACCGGGTGCCTCTGGTCGCGAGCGGCAGCGACCGCTCGGCGCTCCGAACCGCCGCGGTCGAGTTCGAAGCAAGTCGGTCGCGACCCGTCCCCCACTGTGGACTGGGAGGAGGAGGAGGAGGAGGAGGAGGAGGAGGAGGTGGAGGAAGGAGCAGAAAGAGGAAGAGGAACAGGAGGAGGAGAAGGTGGAGAAGGGCGGGAGGGGGAGGGTGGGAGGAGGTGGAGGAGGAGCAGGAGGAGCAGCAGGAGGAGGAGGAGCACGAGCACGAGCAGGAGGAGCAGGAGAGCAGGAGGAGCGGGACGTGGAGCGACCGATCTCGTCGGTGGCGGCTGGAACGCTTTCAGTGTTGGAATGATGAGGGCGGCCCCGGCCCTGCCCTTGGGCTGGGGGCGCGCGCCCGCCGGCAGGGGTGCTGTTCCAAGCTGGGGCAGTGGGGGTAATTACGTGGCACAGATGGGGGGAGGAGGAGGAGAAGAGGGAGGAGGAGGAGGAGGAGGAGGAGGAGGAGGAGGAGGTGGAGGAGGAGGAAGAGGTTGAGGAGGAGGAGCAGGAGGTGCCGTAGTATGTACTTTCAGCAGCTTGCAATTTCTTACGGGCCAGATCAGAGGAGGACAAGGTACCCATACCTCTACCCTTCCCTCCTTTTATCCCTTTTTGGGCCTCTGGGGAGGCCCTCGTCGCCACCGCTGGATTCGCCTCGACACCCTGGTCAAAACGCACCCCGGGAGAGGTCCAGGGAGTAACGGTATCGGTACTTTTTGGTCTCCCATCTGGACGCAACAATTGCGCCTGGATGCAATCGTGTGCTCTGTCGTGCCTCCCAGAAGTGGTTGACGCACCCTTGCCATGGTTCGTGCCCCCAAGCAGTAGTTCGCGCAATGCTTTGCGCCAGCGAAGTCTTGCGCCTCCCACCGCACCCCCTTTGGCTCGGCGGCGAGCGAGGGGGGGAAGTGAGAAGCAGAAGGCCTTCTCAGAAGACGGCGGGACTTCTCAGAAGCGCTCTGGACTTCTGAGAAGTGTTCTGTGTCTTCGGGAACCTTCTGAGAAGGCCGTCTCCTGCTCCCGGGACGATCGAAATTGGTACGGAATAATGGGCACGATGTCCAGCAACAGTTCTTGCACATGTTGAACAGGACTCGCGATTCGCGCCGCCGTGGACGTTGTTCTTTGAAGACAACAAGCCGCATGCCAACAGCGGCCGCTGTCGGCTTGGGACAACAGTTGTTGTTGGGCATTGTACCATTCGGTCGTTGAAATTTGGTATTTGTGGAGTTCCAGATTCCAGTCTACTTTGAGCGCCTTCCTACTTCACTGATCGAGTGGCTCCACCTTTTCCGTCCTCTTTGGGGTTCGGGCGGGCACCCATCTGCTTTCAGCGCTTTCCTACTTCATGCTTCTGCCCTTCCTCTTCCGACCGATGGGTGCCCAGCTTTTCCGTACCCGCTTCGGGCGTCCACATGCTCCCCCCCCCCCTTTTTTTTCGCTCGCCGCCGCCTGGCCTGGCCCCCATCTCTCCAGTCCAGGGGGCCACATGTGAACCCTGCCCCTGCCCCCAACGATTTCTGAGGGGGGGGGGGGGTCACTTCGCTCGGGAGCTCCCGAACGAAGTGAACCCCACCCTCCCCCTCAGAAATCGTGGGGAGTGGGGGTAGGGTTCGCATGTGGCCCCCTAGACTGGAGAGATGGGGGCCGGGCCAGGCGGCGGCGAGCGAAAAGGAGGGGGTGAGGATGTGGACGCCCGCAGCCGGTACGGAAACTATGGGCACCCATCGGCCGGAAGAAGAAGGGCAGCAGCACGAAGCAGGAAGGCGCTGCTCCCTTGGGGGTGGGGTTCGCATGTGGCCCCCGTCTCTCCGGTCGGAGGCGCTGAGCATGGGCCGGAGGGAGGAGGGCAGAAGCACGAAGCAGGAAGGCGCTGCCCCCTTGGGGGTGGGGTTCGCATGTGGCCCCCCTCTCTCCGGTCGGAGGCGCTGCTCCCTCGGGGGGCGGGCCGCCGCCGGCGAGGCCCCTCCCCGCCTCCCCTCGGGGGGCTCTGGCGGGCCTCCCTCGCGCGCGCGCGCGCCTCCGGGCCTGCTGCGGCCCGGCCCCGAGGAGGGGGAGGAGGAGGAGGAGGAGGAGGAGGAGGAGGAGGAACAGGAGGAGGAGGAGGAGGAGGAGGAGGATGAGGAGGAGGAGGAGGAGGAGGAGGAGGAGGAGGAGGGGAAGGAGGAGGACCCTCTTCCCGTCGGCACGGTCGGCATGGGTACGGTCATGTCGGGCGTGTCCCCCCCCCTACAGTCGGGGGCGGAAGAGAGGGGGGTGATGACTATGGGGGGGTGGATCTCATGGCGGGGGCCATGACATTTCCCCAGATATCATGGCGCCTCTTCCTATTTCATTACGTCCCTGGCCCCCCCGCTGGGCCGCGCACATGCCGCCGGTCATGATTTGCACCCCCCCCCTCTTGGACACCCCCCTCTTGGCCGCTCCCGATACAGGGTGATCTTCGACGAAAGCTATAAAACATACCCCAAGCATATAGTCGTCACAGCATGGTCCAAGCATAGCATGGGGGCCATGTTTGGAGACCTGTTTGACCTTTTGGGGGTATTTTTTTTTGTTCGTCGAAGATCCCCCTGTGGGGGGACAGGCCCGACCTAAGGGTGCGGCATGGGGGTATTTTTTGTTTTTTCGTCGAAGATCCCCCTGTAGGGGGACAGGCCCGGCCTGAGGGTGCGGCAGGGTCGCGCCGCAGCGCCCGGCGGCCACCCCGCTGCTGGCGTTCCACGTTGGCTTCCGCCGGCGGACCAGAATCGGTCGATGTTGATCAGAGCCCCGAATCATCAGGGGTAACTCGGGTCAGGGATAACTCGGGTTCCTTTTTCGGGAATCCAAACCCGAGTTACCCCGGACCCGAGTTACCCCGGATAACTCGGGCGCCCAAGTTGAAGGATCGGACGTTTCGGAGTCGGCCAGAGCGTTCGGAGCTGAGCGATCCCCGCGGTGTGAGGAAGCAATGCGTTACCAGCCTGGAACATCTCCCTATCCCTTATGCTGGACATCTCCTCATCGCGGTGCCAATCTTAGGGGTTCCCTTCTTTTTTGAGGGCGCATCCCTAAGATTGTCATCGCCTTTTGGCGTGCCAATCTTAAGGATAGGGATGCGTTCGAGGCTGGTAAACGCAGGAGTCGGCACGACACGAACCTGCCGAACGGCAGAGCGGGGGAGTCGGCGGCACGTGCCGCGCGGAACTCCGCCTTGTTGCGGAGCACCTCAGCGCGTGATGCTTCAAAGGAGCGCCAGGTCTCCAGGCAAAGGCGAGGGAGCAGCACGCCGACGGGCTCCAGACGGCGGCGCGATGCCCTGTGTCCTCTGCCGGAGATCGAGGAGGGCGGCACGATCGGTCGCAGGAGGAGACGAGCGCGCACAAGGACAAGCTTCCGCGTGTCCGCGCGGATCTCTCTTGGATCTGCGCTGGCACCTTCTGGCGGCGCTTCTGTTGTCGCCCTTGGCGTGCTCCGCCTGCCAGGGATGGGGGGGGGGCCCAGCGCCGATCCAGGCGATCCGCGGGGCTCTCCGAACGCTTACTATATTTATTATGCGCGTGCGGCTTTACAGCCGGGGTCCTGCAGAAGGAACCCTTTTCGTTGGGGAGGGGCTCCGCGTTCCTTAAGTGTTTCACAGCTTGCCTCAGGCTGTCCTTCTGTGTTCGACAGGAAATCGAAGTTTAACTTATGAAAAAAGGGGCCTCGTTCCTTATGTAGGGTTCCTTAGGTCAACGCCCCGACTGTATGTTTATTATGCGTGTGCAGCTTTGAAGATCCGTGCGGACCTCCGGGCATCATCCTTCTGTTATATGAAGTGACTGCTTGTGCTGTGCCGGCCAGGGAGAGGGCCATGGGAGCCTCGCCGCGCACAGGGGCCTCGTCGCGAGTGGTGCTGAGTCCCTGACCTCTGGCGGCTTGAAGCCTACCCCCGGCATAGCACCCGTACACGAGCAGAGGTGCAGGTTTAAGGCGGGCCTGTCCCCCTACAGGGGGACCTTCGACGACAAATAGAAACTACTCGAAAAATTATCCAGAAATTAGCCCAAACTGGTCTGGGGACTATGTTTCGAGTGTTTTTGTTGCCTTTGTTGGTTCCTTTTTAAGGTACGTCTTATTAGTCGTCGCAAATCCCCCTGCAGGGGGACCGGCCCGACAGAAGTGAAGGTGCGGGTCGAGGCACGGGAGGCCGGCGGCCCTGACCACTCCAAGAGGGCTAAAGCAGAGCACGCGACTCCAAAACCTGTCCCAAGGCTATTCCACGTCTTGGTTTTAGGCTGTTTCGCTACGTTCCCTTCCAAGAGGGCTATAAAGAATAGCACGCGACTCCAAAACCTATCCCAAGGCTACTCCACGTCTTGGTGTTAGGCTGTTTCGCTACGCTCCCTTCCAAGAGGGCTATATAAAGAATAGCACGCGACTTAAAAGCCTATCCCAAGGCTATTCCACGTCTTGGTTTTAGGCTGTTTCGCTACGTTCCCTCCCAAGAGGGCTATAAATAATAGCGCGCGACTTACAAACCTATCCCAGGGCTACTCTACGTCTTGGTTTTTTTGGCTGTGTCGCTCAGTTGTTTTTAGGTTTTTAGGCCTCCAGTGCTACAAAATAGCCCTCTGGAAGGTCAGGGGAAGAGGGGGCATGCTCCCCTCACCTCCTCCTCTGTCGACGATCCTTCTGCCGAGCCTCGGCTGAGCCTGACCCTGTCTGCAGGAAGCCTCAGCCACACGGGAGACGGGCAAGGACAGGCCGTGGCCGAGTGGAGCTACAACATAGCTCTCTGGAAGCTCAGGGGAGCGGGGGCAGGGCCGGGGGCACGGCCGGAGGCAGCCTCGGGACGGCACGGCGGCCGCAGCGAGCGGCCCAGGTCTCCCCCCCTCTCCGCCTCGAGGGGCTCTTCTCACCACCCCAATGAGCCCTCCATTTCCAGTGGGGGGGGGGATCGGGGAACGTCGAACAAAACACATGGTCCCCGTACCCCCCCCCCAACCCGAAATTCGGGTCAAATTCGTGCCTTCGGGTTGGGTTGGGGTGGTCTGGTAGGTAGTCATCTTCCGCTGTTCTTGTTTTGCCCATCCTCGGAACCTTCCGGCGACGCTCCAGCTGGGAGCAAACTCATCCAGGTCCGCCTCGAGGGGCTCGTCCGCTGTTCTTGCACCCATCCTCGGAGCCTTCCGGCGACGCTCCAGCTGGGAACCAGCGCATCCCGGGATCCACAGCCGGCCCAAGGCGAGGGGCTGAGACCGAGAGGTCCAGAGGGCCATCTCTCGTCGAAACCGAGCCGCTGGCCGTCTCTCTTCCGGGATGGGGGCACGTTTGGCCCAGACAGCACGGTTCCCGGCAGCCAGCGAGAGGTCGGGATGCAGCAGCTCAGCGACTGGCCCAGCATCAACAGCGTCCTCTCCGACGAGGCTTCTGCGCCAGGCACCCGCCGGGATGGAAGGAGGCGGGCTAAGGTTTGGCGGAGGGCAAGGGTAGCCGGAGGCTGCCAGAGGGGTTCGTTGGGCAAGGTTGGTTCTTGCTAGACCCGATGTCCCCCCAGCCCGACCCGAGGCCCCGTAGTCTCGGCCTGAGGCGCAACCGCAGCACTCGAAAGCACCCTTCTTGAAGCAGACCTTCTCGCCGTTCCCGAGGTAGGCCTCTGGATTGGATTGCGCACGATCTGCAGTGGAGCGGGGCGACAACTTGATGAGACGGGCGGGCGGGTCTATCGCGGGTTGCAGACGACAGACGGTGACAGAGCCTGACGAGGGAAGTCGGCGGCGACGCAGGGCAAGCACCAGGGTCGGCAACAGTCGGGGACATGGCTGAACCACGTCGGTCCTAGCAGCGAGAGCCAACCACCGCCAAAGTGAGAGCCCCTTCAGAGCGAGCGCTGAGTGGACAAGTATTCAAAGAGTCCAGATTCGGGCTGAGAGCAAAACAGCCCGACATTTGCACATGTAAGCGCGCACAAACTTGCGACTGGGAAATCACAGCGGTGCTCAACAGCACTTGGCGAGTCCAGACGTTCGTGACATCTGATCGCTACGCGTATGTGTGTCTCGAAGGCGATTGCTGAATATATTTCGGCGAGCCAGTCGCTGTTGGCCATTGTGGAATATACCTGGGCTACAAATGCATCCTTTGAGAAACCATCTGGTGCGATGTGAAAATAGAGGTGCAATAGGCGTTTGAAAAGTGAAGCGACGATGCAGGAAACAACGATCCCAATGGTCCCGAGGGGTAACGGCATGGTTGCAATAAACAGCCTACTGGGTTGAATATCTAGAGTTTGTCAATAGAACCGCCCGGCTGTTCAGCGAGTCCTTTTGCACCGTCGTCGCCTTACGAACGCAGGTTGCGCATCAGTTTCCATATTTGAGCCTAAACAGCGGGGGAGGGACAGGTTGATTGGACAATCGCGTGTGTAGATCTTGGCCTTTGTAGGTCCAGTTCGGTCAAACTGTCTCACCCCCCTCGGCTCCGCCACGCGGACCCCAGGTTGTCCAGCGGTTGTCGTGTGGTTGTCCTGGCTTGTCCCGCAGTTGTCCCACTCGGTTCTCCCACCGTTGTCGCGCGATTGTCCCGCAGTTGCTTGTGGTTGCCTCGTGTTTGCTTGGAGATGTCTCTATGTATAGACAGAGGGTCAGACGAGCTCAAATGCTGGTCGGTGTAACAGGACCATGAGGAATACGGGAAACAGCGCACTGCGGGAGACGCGAATCACAAAGGGAAACCACATGATCAAGCTATTCCCCCTCTGTCCACAAGGAGGGGGTCTTCCGAAGCTGCCCCCCTGCGGGAAGCGGGGGCCGACCTTTGCAAAGGCGGGGGGGGGTCGAAGCTCCCTCCCCGCCTTCCCCACTGTTCGACGTCGGGACAAGCCCGGGCTACCCTTTGCAAAGGGGGGGAGCTTGATAAGCTACCCCTGCATGCTGCAAAGGGAGGGGGGCTTTGGAAGGTGAGTCTGTCCACCCCTTCGTTAGGCTTCCGGAGTGAACCCTGGCCTACTTTTTGAAGGGGGGCCCCCCCTTCGAGAAAAGGGGCCCCCCCCTGGCTTACTTGTCGAGGTAGTTTCAGATGCCCACCCCCCCTGGGGGGGTGGGCATCCGAAATCACCTCCCTCCCTTGGAGGCCCGGGCTGGCCTTTGCAAGGGAAGCTACACCTCAACCCCCACCCCTGGCCTGCAGATTTGCGCGAAGTCTCGTCGTCGCCGTCGTCGTCTTCGTCTTCGTCGTCGTCGTCGTCGAAGTGGTCGTTATCTCCACATCGATGGGGAGAGCGAGGACTCGCGGACGCGCGGGCGGGCGGGCAGTCGCGCGGGCGAGCGGGCGGACGGGCGAGCCGACGGGCGCGATGGTGGGCGTGCGCGTGGGCGGGTGGGCGGACGGCCATTGGACGAGGGGAGAATCGTCAGAGTGAGGCGGTGTCATTCACAATCCCTGTTGACTCTTCAGTGTTGTTGTGTTTGTCGTTGGTTGGTGGTTGTGGTTGTTGTCGTGTTTGTGTTTGCTGTTGTTGCGGATGGTGGTGATGGTGTTGTGTGTTTGTTGTTGTGGTTGTTGTGGTTGTGGTTGTGGTCGTATTGTTGGTCCCCGGTTTACAACAACAGCGGCTCCCGCCTGATACCCTTCGCAATGTATTGTAGAATTGCGCTCCCGCGCGGGACCTCCTCATTATGTATGTAGGATTCGCGCTCTCTCGTGGGACTTTCTTGCAACTGATTGAAACGTCGCGCCCTCGACACTCAGGAAACACGCTCTCGATTTAGGAATCACGCCATTGCTCGAGACTCGTTAGCGATTCATGGAGGACTCACGCGTCAGCAGCCCGCCTGCTCGACCTGGCCGCCCTGGCCCGTCTTCCCGATACGCCCGTTAGTGTTTGGCCACCCGATCTGCCCGTTTGTTTCTGCCATGTGTTTTCTGCTCAGCCCCCCTCCTGCTAATCTCTCTCGTGCTCCATCCTTCTCCCTCCTCCTTCCATCCGTCCTCTCTTCACCTTTTCAGGGGCTGCGCTACATGCACGTGGCAGGCAAGGAAACTATAGTCTCCAAGGGTGTACGCTCGAAGACGAAGAGGGCGGGTACCCAGGGTTTGGGATATACGTGTTGCATGGCACGCGGGCAGGTAGGAACGAATATTATCAAAGGTATTGTTGTTGTTGTTGTCGTTGTTGTTGTTCTTGGTTTTGATGTTGAGGTTGATGGTGATGTCGTTGTTGATGGTGTTGTTGTTGCTGCTGCTGGTGTTGCTGCTGTTCCCCAGTCAGTGCTTGCACTGAAGGGGTCCTAGCGGATACTGGAAGATGTGGCGAAAGCTCTGGGCCGATTTCGGTAGGCGGCCGGGTTCCTGGGTTCCCGGGTTCCCCGTTCCGGGTTCTTGGGTGCCCGCGTGCTGCTTCTGGGCCGATTTCGGTAGGAGGGAGGCAGGGTTCCTGGACCATCGATCTCCTTACCCACGTCTCTATCGAACTCGGTTATCACAATCGATGCACCATCGACATCACTTTAGATCGCACGGGCTATCTGACGATCGATCTCACTATCGATCTCACTGAATTGAGTTCACTTTCGGTCTCACGATCGACATTTCTACCGTCCTGCACACTATTGATCCCACGATCGATCCCACGATCTCATTATCCATCTCACTATATATCGAACTCCCGGATTCAGGTCCCCGGGTGCCCGTTTGCTGGTTCCCGGCCAAGTTCGGTGAGCGGCGGGATTCCCAGGTTTCCGGGTTCCCGGTTTCTTGGTCGATTTTCTTATCGATCGGTCTCACCATCGATCTCCTTACCCACCTCTCTATCGATCGCACAAATCGATCTCACAATCGACTCACGATCGATCTTCCCGCAAGCAGTGCTTGCACGGAAGGGGTCCTATAACGGAGATTCCCCCAATCAGTGCTTGCACTGAGGGAGTCCTGCTGGCGGAGATGGAAGGATTTGACGAGGTTCTGGGCCGATTTCGGGAGGCGGCCGGGTTCCGAGGAGGAGGAGGAGGAGGAGGAGGGGGAGGAGGAGGAGGAGGAGGAAGAGGAGGAGGAGGAGGAGGAGGAGGAGGAGGAGTTCCCGGTTCCGGGTCCCTGGGTTCTCGGTTCCGGGTTCCGGGCCGATGCGGTGCGCGGCGGAGCTTCCGGGTTCCTGGTCGATCTTCTTCATCGATCGGTCCCACCATCGATCTCATGACCCACCTCTCTCTCGATCTCACGATAGATATCAGCATCGATCTCACTATCGATCTCACAAGCGATCTCACTACGGATCGCAGGAGCGATCTCACGACCGATCGCACTATCGATCCCACTGAATCGAATCCGCGATCGGTCTCAGGATCGACCTTAGTTTCGTCCTTACTATCGATCCCACTTTCGGTCTTACTATCGATCTCACATCCGATCCCAGTATCAATATCACGAATTTTCGAACCATCCACTCAGTGGGTTAGTTCCTTCTTGTAATTGTTCAATTCTCCTTTCTCAGGAGTAATTACTGTTGCCCCCCCCCCCCCCCTCCGGGGTACATCTTGTTTTTTCAATTGAAGTGCCCTTCACGGGGCTCGCACCTTGTTTTTTATACTACGGTCAGTGAGAGTCACCAAACTGGGCCCCTGGCCCCCGGGTTGCAAAAACAACGGCCCCCGTCTGTTACCTCCTCACAATGTATTCCAAAATTGTGCATTGGCGCGGGACGTCCTCACAATATATTGAGATGCCACGCCCTCGACACGCGGGAATCACACTCTCGCCTTGGCCTTTCCCACGATTTACTTGGGAGTCGCGCTATTGCTCGAGCTCTCCTCGCGATTCATGCAGCACCTGCGCTTCAGTAACACGCCGTCTCGACCTGGCCGTTTGGGCCCGCCTTGCCGACCCGCCCGTTCTGGTCTACCCGCCCGACCTGCCCGTTTGTTTCTGCCACATGTTTTTTGCTCCTGGCCCCCCTGCCGCGTATCCCGTGATCCATCCTTCTCCATCTCCACTACATCCGTCCTATTTTCCTTTGTGTCAGGGGCTGCACCAAGAACGCGCGGCAAGTAAGGAAGATATACCCCCACCCAAGATGGTACGATCGAAGACGAAGAGGGGTGGTACCGAGGTTTGGGGATAGACATGTTGAGTAGCACGCGAGCAGATAGGAACGAATAGTGTTAAACTTAATATTGTTGATGTTGCTGTTGTTGTTGCTGCTGTTGTTGTATTCTCCTCACTTCTGAAAGTACACGTTTTGTTGATCACCACCCTTCTGCACACATTCTATTTGTCCTATTGAAGTGCCCCTCCCGGGGATCGCGCCGGTTTTTTTCAGGGGAAGTCTTGAAGGTCAAACTAGGCCCTTGGACCCCGAATTAAACAACAACAACAACAACAACAACAATTACTAGCACGTGGGGACACTCCGTTCTCACCAGTGCCAGGGTTTTCATAGGAGGCGG